GGGTCTTCATTCTTTTAGGCTCTCTTGGGACCGCCCGGCTCTCTTGACAGGCAATGGAAATGATTAATGATCATTTTCAAAGCCAGGAAAAAGCAGTGAGGGTCCTTGGCAGGGCCACGTCCTGGGTCCTGGGCCCTTACCCCTGATCAGTGGGCAGGAGGGCAGCCATGTGACTGACTGGGGTCCTTGCCCCCGACTGTGCCTCGTCTTCATTGGAACAGGCTCGTTTTCTGTGGTGGGATGGAATTCCCTTCTCCTGTCTCTGTCTCCAGTGCCCAAGGAGGCCATCTCCTCCTTCTGCCTCACCCCTACCCCTTATCCCTGTGTCCACAGTCTTAGTGGCAGGAAGGGGAGCAGAGTACCAGGGAGCAGCTTTTGTTTGGCTCCATGTGGATACAAGTTCCCAGTGACAGCTCTGGCCTTGCTAGTGCCGGTGCCCAGCGGCGTTCCCACCACCCAAGGGTTAAAGCCCAGGGAGCCCCACAGCCTCGCTGGGTCCCTGGCCCTCATAAAAGCCTTTTCTACATAGTCCCTTGGGCTGCCTCGGGCTCCCTGGCTGAAATCTGATATGGGCCCTCTTTGTTGGAACTGTCAGTCTCCTTTATTGAGGAGGGAACTGGAGACCAGCGGCATTTCTTGGGGTACAGATAAGGCCCTGGATTCCTGTCAGAGGGAGCATGATTAATTACCCTCAATCCTAGCTCCTGCTTTGATAGCAGTGACTGACAGTACACAGGCTTCCCCATCAGGTGCTCACGCCCCCTTGGGGAGGCCTGCTGGGGGCGGAGATTCAGCCTCCTGCAGGGCCAAGGCTAGTGACCCACAGAACGCTCTATAGCAAAGATTGTTTGCCTCCTTCCTGGTTCTCTGCAGGTTGCTTTTGCTTTTATTGTAGACAGAGATCTGTTACCTTCCAGGTGAAGAGCCTCCTTAGAGGAAGATACAATCCAGCCCAGACTGCAGGCCAGAGACACCCCCTTCCCTGCAAGGTTGGGGAAAGAGCATATGGACCTAGTCCTTAGCCACACAGGGTCCTTCGTAGGACAAGTTCCTAAACCATCCACCTCAAGGTCACTTGGCAACATTTCATAATTCAGGCAAGCTCCTAAAACCAACTCACCCTCCCTTCGGCAGTAATCACAGCAATCCGTTTTTGTTGTAAGTTTTTATTCATAGACTCATAGAACTGAAAGTCACCTAGCCCAAATTCCTTATTTCACAGATGGAGAGACTTAGACCCAAGTATGTCAGTCTCTCGTCCCCATTCCCCAGTAGGATGTATTTATGGGTTCTCTTTCTTGTTCAGAAGGTGGACTCCACCAAAAGGCCTCCCCCTCCCCCTTCATAGCTGAGCCTCCCTGAGGCAAGGGAGATGGCTGTGGGCCCTTGAAGCACAGAGCAGACTGCAGAGACAGACCAGTCTGAGGATCCTTTTTCTCCCGTTGGTCTCGAAGCCAGGGCAGGTTTTGTGTATGGATTGTCTGGACAATGTGAGAAATCCGTACCGTCATCTGGAGCTATCGCTCATGGTAGCCTCTGTTTTGTTTCCGACAGTATCGGGGCACCTCCTGCCCTGGGAGCTATTTTTGGTGGTTTCACAGAGAGCCAGACTCCGGGAAGAAAGCACCCTGTCCCCTTATCCACTCATCTCTGCACCAGGGTGCCAGTGGAGCCCAGACCTGTGGTTTCTCCCCAGAGGTGCTGGAAAGAGGCCACATTTTGGTTAGATTTACGGCCTATGACTTCAGATGCCACTATGCCCCTTTCTTGCCGTCTCTGTTTCCTCTGCCCTGAGCAGTTCTCAGCCACATGCAGTCACTCTGTGTGACTATCAGAAGGCGAACTTTTCATGAAATTTCTGCATCTGTAACATTGTCGTCTCTCAAAGAAGCCATGTCAGATGGCTAGACAGTCCAGTGACTACCCGAGAGTAGCCTCCAGAGGTGGTGTGAGTGACCCCTACGAACCTCTCGTGGTTCATAGCCACACCTCCTCTTCAAACAAAATCAGCGTAAACGGCTTGGTTGCTTTCTGTTCTCCTGGCTTGCCTCCGTGAATGACCATGTCCAACAGTAAATATACCCTTTACGTTTGAAGATTACCACCGTCAGAGATTGTAATGAAAATAGTGCAAACTCTGAAGGCCATTTGCAAAAGCAAAATCTGGATTTGGAAAACCAGGTACATAGCGCGACTCTGTGACCGCTGGGGACAGCAGCCCGTCAGCTGGGCAAGCCTGCCTCGTGGCTGGTTCCACACTGAGCTGCGCCCGTCTCTGCGTGGCATGGCCCCGGCCGCCTTCCACTCTCTAACATGCTGCCCCTTCTCTTTGACTCCACTGAGTGTGTTCATGGTTTCTTTACCTTCTCAAACCTTCCCCACCCCGAGCTCTCCATCCATCCTCCTGCTGCTTGTCCACTTTTCATGGCACCTGGATGCAAAGAGCTGAACCACCCTGGGCCTCCCTTCCCCCAATCTGTTTACTAAGGGTCACGACCCTAATAAACCTGCTGGAACCTGAGAAGAGATGGTGACTTCTGTTCAGGGTTGTCAGTATCAGACACCTGACTTGATCCTGGTGATGGGTCTGGCGGGCACACCGCAAGCATAAGAGCACCTGAGATTCCAAGTTGGGTAACCCAGAGCTGCCAGCTGTGGCTCTGAGGAGTATTTTTCCCCCAATCTGCACGGTAGTCTAGTTTATTACACACTAATACTTAAGACATGGTGAAGGAGAAGCAGTCTCTGCCTTCACAGAGCTGATGGTCCTCCTGGGCCACCAGGTGAACGAACATATGTGAAATGATCGGAGACTAATTATCACTGAACTTGAAGGGTCGTAACAGGAATTCGGAGAGAGAAGAAATCCCCATGAACTAGGACAGCTGGCAGATTCTTCCTGAAGGCCAATATGGAGAGGACTTAAGCAGAGGCAGGTCATGTTAGGCTTGTTGAAGGAGAGCACAACCCAAGTGGGCCTGGATTGGGGACTGTCGTGAGGAGACCCAGCTAGTGAGTGAGTGAGTTATCAGGTTGCTTGAAATGTTTCGTAGGTAAGCTTTTAAGGGTGTTGGGGCCCCAGGTGATGAGACTGGGCATGTGGGGCGGGATTGGCAGGCGTAAGAGCCTGTAGGTGAACAAGGAAGCCGGTGCTGTGCTGGCAGCCGTGCACAGGTTGAGCGCAAGGGTAAGAGGCCGCTATGGGCTGGAAAGGCAGATATGTTTGAGAGGAGCCTCAAAGGAAGGATCGGCAGAGCCTCCTAACACCCTCAAGGCGGGTGATAGGGGAGAGAAGAGCCGGTGCTGCCCAAGACCTCAGAGGGTGACAGTGTTACTGCAAGAAAAGGAAGTGATGGGAACAGAGGGGCTGGCTTGGGGATAAGGGTGGGCTCAGTGTGAACATTCTGACTTGGAAGCGAACAGGGCACTGTGAAGATGTTCTGGAAGCTTCTGGGAATGTGAAGGGACCTTGGGAGTGGCTCTTCCAGGGTCTCCGGGCGATGCCATGAGGGTGTAAACTCACCTGGGCCATGAGTGTGCTCAGGCAGACAGGCCTCCCGAAGGGCGTGGACCTTAGCCCTGTCCTGCCAGGGGACCAAGCTCTGCCACTCTAGGCTCTCATTGGTTATGTCGGGAATCAGGCTCCCCGTCCAGAACGGCACAGGGAGAAAAAGTTAACCAACACAAGCTATGTGTCTTGGCAGTGTACCCACCGTCCTCTGAATATTTTACCTTTGGAGTCTTTGGATCTAACACTCTGACCCCTTTGTTTTGACCCTCCAAGGACCGGCTGATCAAGACAAAGTTCTTGGAGACCTCCTGCCCCCTCCCCATACTTAGAAAAGAGGCCTGGGGCTGCCATTAAGAGCTCCACATACATGTTCATGCTCAGGCTGTTTGCTCCTCATGCCTCTAGCTTGAATTATCCTGTAAAAGAGTTGATGAGGCCAGCGTTCCAGGGCTAGGAAGAAAATCCCATTCCTTGAGAGGAAAGAAGCAGGAAGAGCTGAAATAAACAGCACTTCTGGAAAATCAAGCTGGCTTACCATCCACCAGGCAGTCCGTGAGACCTCAGCAAGGCTGGGGCGGTGGGAGGGGGCCCAGGCAGAGGAGAGCAGCCTGTGTACAGTAAAAGGAGTTCGCCATCAAAAGGCAACAAGTCTCATACCCTGCCCTGGACGGTGACCCTTCCCTGCGGAATTCTCCCCTCTGACCTCCAGATCATTAATCCTGAGGCTGCCAAATGACAGTCATCCATCACGCCTCCTGACGAGCATCCCAGCCGCCTGTGAAAGAGCCCCAGCCCCGCCCTCCCTGCCGTCCCCTGGTGCTCATTAGCAGGCCTTCCTGCCTGGTGCCAGGTTTCCTAATCAAGTCCCTGGCTCCTCTCACTTCCCTTCGGGGCCAGTGGCGGAAGCTGCCCTGACCCTCCCTCTTGCAGAGGCCAGGCAGGGGGTGGAGTGATTAGTGGGGAGAGAACTACTGAGTGGCTTTGTATCCCCCTGGAGACTCGTGTGTCCAGCAGCTCCTTTGACTTGGTGGGGACACAGGCGAGAAATCATTTTTCCGTCCTGCCGCAGGAGAGGAGGAAGCAGGCAGTATGCAAATGAAAACGCTGTTATAAAGCGCACCCAGAGCTACAAAAGACACGCCCAGGGAACTGTGTGGGTGGGTGGTGGGATGGCGGAGTGGCTTCTGAAGGCTCGAGAGGAATGTGAGTGGCCACATCGTTAGGAAAGAATCTGGACTCGTCCTGGTAGCCAAAAAAAAAGAAAACAGGCTAATGTTTTAGGCAAGACCACAAAGCCTGTGAGATGGACCTGTCTGCTCATCCCACGGAGAACTGGTAGCTAGTCTGAGAGCTTCCAGCTTTGGGAGTTGGAGTCAGATGAAAGCAGATTCATGAACGTATTTCTGACTCAGCAAAAGGTGGGCACATGCATGTCTTCTTTCTCCGCTTGATAACACAACCCTCTGTTTCTCTATTTGGACAATCACAGGGACCCCCATCAACCGAATCCCCATCATGGCCAAGCAGATCCTGGACCTGTACATGCTGTATAAGCTGGTGACGGAGAAGGGGGGCCTGGTGGAGATCATCAACAAAAAGATCTGGCGGGAGATCACCAAAGGCCTGAACCTGCCCACGTCGATCACCAGCGCCGCCTTTACCCTGAGGACCCAGTGAGTGGCCAGGGCCCTAGGGAAAGGAAGCTGAGGCTGGAGAATGGGGGTGTTTTAACCTAGAGGAGAGGAAGGAAGGAAATTCCACTGTGCAGTGAGCAAGATGAGCGGAATTCCCGATGCAGCCAGGAGCTTTCTGAGATGAGTCCCTCTCGACCTAAGTAAGGATGAGAGCCATCATTTCCCAAGTGCGTCCCTGGGCTACTTTGCCATTCTCTTTTTTTCGGGTGTCCCCATCAACTCCATGAGGTAGGTGTTACGCCATTTTTCAGAAAACAAAATCTGAGCCTCCAAGATCATAGTTTGGTCCAGGCTATAGCAGCTAGCTAAGGTTCATCCCCGGGCTCCTGGCCCTGCATCCGCTCCTTCCGGGACGTAGCCTCCCAGACACACCCCCACCCTAAGCCTTAGCCGTTCCTACCTGACCTTCCGCGCCCAGCCACAGAGGACCGGGGATGTGGGACCCATCTTTGCAACCATATGAATTAATTCCAAGGGTAACAGGAGCAGGGGAAGCAAGAGTAGCCCGAGGGGCATCCACTCTTCCCAGCACACCGGCTGCTGCTCTCTGAAAGGTGTGGAACGAGCAGCCGTGACAGTGCCTCAGAGCCCTGTGCAAAAGTGGAAGGGTTTTATCTCTGGAGCTGTTCCAGCAGGAGTCAGGGACAGCGCTATAACCAGCACAGCGGTCCTTCTCTTGAGGCCCCTGGGACATCTTCCAGGGCCACGCAGAGTGGGACAAATCACTCCTGTCTGAGCAGCGTGACTCAGAATGGTTAGGACAGCCCAGGAACCAGGAAGACCTTGCAGAGACTTTCTCCCAGGGTGCTGGCACGGCACCAACACCAACACAAAACGTGAGTGAAGGTGTGCTCTCTTTCCCCGGAAGTGGTGCCCCTGAGTGGAGCAGAGGTCAGGAAAGGGTTGAGTAGCAGCTGGCAGGCCCTGGACCTTTCTCTTCTGCCAAGTGACCCTGTGTCCTAGAGGCCTGCCCCGCAGAGACCCAGAAGCTTAAACGGGGCGGCCTCTGGTGCCGTTTTGGATTATTCTCCTTGCTTCCTTCCCTTCAGGTACATGAAGTATCTCTATGCCTATGAGTGTGAGAAAAAAGCCTTGAGCTCCCCAGCCGAGCTCCAGGCAGCCATCGACGGCAACCGGCGGGAGGGCCGGCGGCCCAGCTACAGCTCCTCCCTGTTTGGCTACTCGCCTGCTGCCGCCACTGCCGCTGCCACCGGGGCCCCCGCCCTGCTCTCCCCACCCAAGATCCGCTTCCCCATCCTCGGGCTGGGCTCTAGCAGCGGCGCTACCGCCAGCAGCCCGCGGATATCCCCAGCAACCACGCTCAGGAAAGGTCTGCAGGGGCCAGGGGGGAGGAGGGCGGGCAGGGAGGGAGTGGAAGAGTCTGTTAGGTGCAAGGTCGGTCTGGCTCTGGTGCCTTCCCCAGGTGATGGAGTCCCGGTGACGACGGTGCCTGTGCCAAATCGCCTGGCTGTGCCCGTGACCTTGGCAGGCCAGCAGGCCGGTACCCGGACGGCCGCGCTGGAGCAGCTGCGGGAGCGGCTGGAGTCCGGGGAGCCCCCTGAGAAAAAGGCCTCCAGGCTGTCAGAGGAGGAGCAGCGCCTGGTGCAGCAGGCCTTCCAGCGCAGCCTGCTGAGCATGGCGCGCCAGCTGCCCATGAAGATCAGGATCAACGGCAGGGGTGAGCATGGGGGTGAGCCAGGCAGCCCCTCCCCTCCTGCTGCACCCTCCTCCCGGTTCCACTCCAGGGCCCAGCCATCCCAGGATTGGGGTGGGGGCCCCTCCGGGGTCTACCCTCCAGGTTCCCCAAGGGTTTCCAGGCCAGAAAACCACGCAGGGCTTTACCTTAACCAAGCCCACTAAAACTTGCCTCAGGCAGTGCCCTATTCTCTGTCGAAAAAGACAAGCTGTTGTTCAGTTGTTCGAGGGGGAGGAGCCAGAGACCTTCAGGCACAGCTGCTGTGTTTCTCTTCCTCCCCGGCCTTTTGATCTGTGTAAATTAAAGGGCTCAGCCTTCACCCCAGTACCTCCCCGGATGTAGGTCTGGGCCGGAAGCCGGCACCTCCATTCTGAGCCTCCAGGAGCCTCTGGGAGGGGCCAGAGTCGCCCCAGCTGCCTGTGACCCTCACAGGGGAAAGAGGAAATACCAGTTTGGCAGCATAATTGACATCTCTCCCTTCCCTTCCTCATTTTTCAGGTGCCCTACCTTCTGGACTCCTGAATTACACTCCATGCCCCTTGTTCCTTTCTCCCCTTCCCCGCCATCCCCCACATTTTCTTGGCCACTCTTGCCCTGACTCTGTCTCAGAACAAGCTTCAGCGAACTTGCGGTGGGAAGTCGGGTGTGAAGGGAGCTGTGTGCATTCGTGGGCAGCTCTCCCTGCCCCACTGTCCCCAGGTGAGGTGCAGGACGCTGGGGGTGACAGCCGGGCTCTGCTCTGTCACCTGCACAGGCCATACACTGATAGAAAAGCAGCTCACCTGGAAGAAATACTTGGCTGCATGATGAAAGGGCAGAGTCTGGGGTAACCAGGCGGAGCCAGTGCCTGTAGCTTTCTACAGACCCCAGATGGTCAGGTTGAGATGGGCGCCAGGTGCCGGGCTACATGCTGGGCAGGTAGACCCTCTATTCGAGGACCAGCCAGCCTGGTTAAGGGGAGCAGGAGGAAAAGCAGGTCCTCAGAGGCAGGGACTGGGCCTTACTGGTCTGCGGCTCCCTGGCCAGATGGATAGTGGATGCTTAGCGTTTGCCGAATCAGTCTGAAAGTGTCAGTGCACAGCTGTGAGCCAGGCTCAGTCTTTGCAGCCTCAGCTCCCTTTCCCGGGAGAACAGAGGGAATGTGGGAAGTGAGTGGCTCAGCAGGGAACAGAGAGAGCAAGTGATAGGACCTTGGCAAGCCTGGGTTCTCCTGCCCAACCTTACACTCAGGAGGAGGTTATCCAGATACTTTCTGGAACAGTGGGAGGCCTTGCCTGCTCTGGCTGGTCCAGGAGAGTGGGAGAGCTTTGGAGAGGACACCGTGGTGTCGGAAGTCCTGATCAGGCCCGCTGTCTCCCTTGTCCCTAGCAGAAGACAGAACAGAGGCCTCAGCTGCCGCGCTGAACCTGGCCACGGGCAGCATCGGGAGTATTAACATGTCCGTGGACATTGACGGCACCACCTACGCAGGTGAGGCTCCGGGTACTCTGAGGGCAGGCCATGGCCAGGGCCCCTCCTGTCACCCTCCCATCTGAACAGCTTCCCAGGGGAGCCTCTCTTGCGTGTAGTCTCAAGGTTTCAAAGGTTGAGTGGTTTTTCCAGACTGGGAGAGGCTGAGGATTGCCAGCAGGATGACCGATACCCCCTTTCAGCAGAGCGGTGGAGACCCTGCATCTAATTTTGGACCAATGGTTGGCTCGATAGTTGCACCCATCATTTAAGCACAAGGCGTCATAATCCAGCCCATGCCCAGGGTTTAAACATTGCGTCTGCCATTACGGTCCTGTGGCGCACAGGGCTCCTCGGAAGGGTTCAGCTCCGCTGTCCCTAAACGTCGCCTGTCATTCCTTTTCTTTACAAGAGACCCAGGACTGACATGCAGGCAAAGGAATCTGAGTGCGGCAGAAATCGGCCCCTGTTGTTACAATTCCGCCCCGTCCTTTGCAGTTACCGCTCTATCTGGTTGGCTGGTTGGGTTAGCATCTCTACCAAGTCTTTCCAGCTTTTGGAAACCAGTCCTTTTCCTGCTCCTGTTTCTCTGGGTTGGGGGTGAGTTTGGGAACCAGCCCAGCCGACTCTCACTGAGCATGGCTTCCTGAGCCCGGCACGCTAGCCACATGCTTGACAGAGGGCCAGGAGGTATCCAGAGGAAGGGCCTTAAAGCTACAGCTTCCATCACACTGGTGCCCCTGCTCTGGGGACACTACCCTGCGGCCTCACGCTCTGGATCTCTGCTGGGCCACCAGCTACCAGTGTCAGGGTTGTGGCCAAGGAGGGGACGGAGTTCCCAGAAGCAGCCCACAGAGAAGCAGTGATGCCACACCGCCTCGCCGATCACGTGACCTGTGCTTCAGAGGCGTCAGCAAGAAGTCTCAGCCTGACACAGGGGGCCCCTCGAGGAGACCAGGCGAGACAACAAGCAGGGCCTAGGTGCCCTTGGCCATCCGGTAGTGCCTGACGGTCTAAGAGGACTAGGGGCTGGGAGTGAGTCCACAGAGAGAGCAGGGAAGGAAGAGATCAGTGTCTGGAAAGGGAGGGAGAACACCTCCTCACAGCAGGTGACAGAAGGGAGGTGAAGGCACCCCAGACCTCACCTGCCTCACCTTTGTCCCATCTGTGGCCTTTCTTAGCGGGTGTGCAAGTCGCACAGACCAGGAACCGGAGAGTCGTTCCTGAGAGCCCCTCACCTCTGTCGTCACCCCCAGGCTGACAGACCCCGCTCCTCGGCTCTCTCCCCTCTTCTGCCACCCCCACAGCGCCTCTGCCCTGGTTTGGGCCTCTTTCCTTGTGCCTGTTCCTTCCAGCCCCTGTTCCTTCCAGCCCCATGTTCCTTCCAGCCCCATGGAGAGCGTTTTAAAACACATACCTGTTGCATCCCTCCCCTTCCTAAAAGCTCCACGGTCTTCGTGGCTCCTGCAGGGTAAAACCTGCCTCTTGAGAGGCACACGGGCCACCCTTCCCTCATCCTCCCATCTGTCCGGCCTCACCTGCCATGCCGGCCTCCAGCATGTTGCCACCTCCCTGCTCCAGCTCTTCCTTCGGCCACTCTTTCTGATGGCCCAAGCGTGTTCTCCCAGCCCCGGCCTTTCCTGACTGGCTTGCCCCTTCCTTCCACCGCCTTCTCTTTGTTCCCACAAGCCCCTGGGGGAGGCACCCGTGCCCACAGAGCACTGGTTACATCTCATCAAAACCACGGTTTACCTTTCTGCCCCCTGGCCAGCTTGTCAGCACCCGAGGCGGGACCGTGTTTGGGACTCCAGTCAGCAGCTAGCACGGGGTCCGAAACGGAGCCTTGCACTGAGCTGGGCACCCGTGGTGGGGACAGTGCACACGCCTGTGTCTCTGCATCTGCTCATGCTCATTTCCCCCCCAGGTGTGCTGTTTGCCCAGAAGCCCGTGGTCCACCTCATCGCAGGGTCCGCTCCCCAGAGCATGGGCGGCAGCGCCAGCGGCAGCAGCAGCTCTCACTGCTCACCCAGTCCTACCTCGTCCCGGGGCACCCCCAGCGCCGAGCCCTCCACCAGCTGGTCCCTCTGAGGGGCAGGACCCAGCGCCCCGTGCCCCGCTCTCCTGTCGAGAGTGCAGGAGGTTGATGCACAGAATTTACCTCATCTTGCGGAGCCCACGTCCACCACCATTTGGCCAGATGTTGAGAGTTTGGACGTGCCCGTCTGTCCGGGCTCCGCTCAGGTCCTGCTGTACTCTGGGGACGGGGAGAGGGAGAGGGGCAGGACGGGGCAGCGTTGTCCAATCAGGGATTGTGCTGGAGAACCGGGCGGGCTGTGGGCAGCCGGCTTCCTGCGGGGCTCCCAGGCCACCTCCCGTCTAGGGCACAGTGTATTGACAATCTGGAAGCCGGCACAGGGCTGGAGGCCCGCCAGAGCCCTTCCCCTTAATTTATTTCCCTTCCCCTGCCTTCTGCCGTGACTCCGGGGTCACCGGCCTCTTCCCCTGCTCAGCCCTTCAATCTTTAACTCCCATGTAGGGGCTGCTAGGGCCCAGGACGATGCCTTCGTGGCCCTTCTCTGCTGAGCATGGGACGGGGCCCTCCTGCCCACCCTGCCTACCACATTTGGTTCCAGGGCTGTGGGTCCCTCGAATTCAAGTTTTGAAGCTATCCTCAGGGCCTCATGTCCCTCTTTTAATGGTCCCAAGGAAGGGCACACGAGGGCAGTCCTCGGGTCCCAGAGCTTACTGGGTACCTGCTGAGGGAGAGGCAGAGCCTCAGGGGGCTGCCCAGGCAGGCCCTGGCACCCGTGTCCACACTGACCCTTGTCTGGCCCCCCCCGTACCTCGTGCTGTCACTCGCCCTTTGGCCACCTGTCCCAGGAACAACCCACTTGGCCCTTGGGCCTTCCCTTCTCATCGGGCCACCTCAGCCCCAACATCCCCAAACCTGCTGATGTCAGGTGCATTGAAATACCTCAGATTTGTAATTGTTGATGTTTGATTCTTCAGGAAGTATTTGCATCTCTGAAATCTTTTTTAATATGTGTTTTGCTGACTTTTTTGTTTTTAATTTTTATTGTTATTGTAGCACCAAAGAAACGAAAGCAGATCACCCCTAAAGCCGAGCAAACATTTGGTACCCCAGCCCCTCCGGCCCTTTGCTCAGACCCCAGTGACAAGGCGGGGAGGCAGGCAGGAGAGATGACTCAGGGATCGCAGCGGCGGGGGCGCGAGGGGCCCTGGCTTGTGCAGGGTGGGTCCTGAAACCACATGGTTCCGGAGATGGTTCCTGACCCACTTCCCGCCAGAGCAGGGCTCATCCCCCACCCCTACCCCCGGCTCCCCTTCCCTCAGCATTGCCACCTCGGGGCGGGGGTGGGCCAGGGAGGCCCTGGGTCTTGTAGAGGCCAAAACGCCCAGGGGATAAGGGGAAGCCGTCCTCCCCTGGGCCCCTGGGCCAGAGCAGGCAGCTCCCGTGTTGGAAAGACGGGGTGATTGTCACAGCGGGCTCACCTCCGGCTGAGCACGTCCTGCAGAGCTCACAGAACATTGCTCCCTGTGACGTCATTGGCTGTGGTGGTGACAGGCCAGGCTGGCGCGAGCTATCGCACGACTAGCACTCGGCTCTGTCTGTGAAAGGAAAGGGAATCAAAGGCTGGAGCACAAAACAGCTACCTCAGCCTGGTAGGCTGCAGCTCTGCCGGCCCACATCTGCTCACCCCCTCCCCAGCCTTCCACACACACTCACACACACATACACACACACACACAGCCCCACCCACCGGGGCCTGACCCTCTTCTGGCCTCAGGAGCCTTCTCTCCTTACCCGCCAGGTAAGCGCAGGCAGTGGGCAGAGAAAGGTGTCTGGGATCCGGTGCCAGGAGGGGCCCGGTCAGCTGGCGCTGGGCCCACTTGAAAGTGTCGCAACATTTGGCCAGTGTGTCTTTCTCAGGGGTTTGGTCACGAAGGATGGACTCTTCCTAGCCAGAGGACACAGGGACAGTGCACTGTGGCTTTCTGGTCACTGGATCCTCTCCCCTTCCCCAGGCGGCCTGCCCAGCCTTGCCCTCTAGGCAACCCCTCATTGCCCTCAAGGACCACAGCAGGGTCTCAGCCCAGAAGCCCAAAGTCAGGGATGCCAGCAGGTGCCCCAGGAGCAGGGCCCTGAGGAAGGGAAGCTTTCCCTGAAGGTGCAGTCCTGAAGGCCACAGGGCAGCCATTTGGCCAGGGCCGCTTTCTCCCCTCCCCTCACCCCCGCAAGCTGCATACTCTGACCAGGAAAATGTGCTAGCACATGGGTAGCCTAGGCAGTGGATAAATACCTCAGACATCCTCTTGCAGCAAGTGTCTGTATATGTTGTGGTTATTTTCTATCTTACATGTTCTCGAATGTTTATATTTCAATAAACCTCTACCTCTTCACACAAGCAGGCCTCTCGGATGCTTTCAGTGACCCTCCCGTGGGCAGTGATCAGGACGGGGGATAGGCAAGAGCCCCGAGAGTAAAAAGGACCTGGTCCTCCAGATCCTTGGGTTTTCCTGAACCTTCTGCCCTTTACTGCTCATACATTCCCCAGAGTGCTCACTCTCGGCCTGTTTCTGGGTTGGCAGAAAACCCTGGGTGTTGCCTGAGCACCAGGGCCCTCTCCGGTGGTCCTGTATCAGTGACCTGGCGGGCACAGGGCCAGGGGACCACCTGTCTTTAGCTCCTGCTGAGTCAAGTGTGGTCCCCATGCTTATGGAGCTCACAGCCTTGTTGGGGAGGCTCACACAGTTAGCCGGTCAAAAATCAGGATGCAGCGTGACTGGGACAGCAGGCTGCCGATGGCAGATGGCCGGAGCAGCTCACTAGGGCACCTCTGGAGAGCCTCCCGGAGGTGGCAGCGTTTTAACTGGAAGAGTGAGATTGCCGACTGGAGACGTGAGGAAGAGCGTTCTCAGCAGAGGAACTGATCTGTGGAAACTCAGTGGCCTCAGCCAACCCGCCCTTGGGGAACTGTGGCCGGGACTAGGGTCAGAGGGGTGGGGATTGGGGGAAAGGATGGCTGGGTCCAGGATAGATCCCAGGCAAGGGGATTGGGGTGCCATCCTCCGAGCATCAGCAGCTCCGCTGCTGGCCCGTTTTAACCAGGACGTAGGCTTAAAAAGGTTCTTTTCCGGAAGCGTGATCTGGAGTCGAGGGACACGCTGGGCCTAGACCTCTGGGACACCACCACTGGAACACAGGCCTAGACCCAGAGTACTCAGCCTTGTTTTCTGCCACGACGCACATCCTATGGCTACAACCCAGTTCTGGTGAAACCAAGAGAAGTGGGCAGAGAAGGAAAGCACTGGGGATTTGCAACAACGCACCTCGCCAGTCTGTGCGGTCCTCCGAGGCGGGCAAGAGGGGACCTCTTTGCCATTTTGAAGTGCTAGCAAATGAGAGTGACCTTGGAGCCTCTCACTGATTTCTAAACACCTTTTTTAAAGACTTTTTTTTTTTTTTAAGTAATATCTACACCCATCTTGGGGCTCGAACCCACAACCCCGAGATGAAGAGTCGCATGCTCCACTGACTGGGCCCGCCAGGCGCCCCTCGTACTTTAATGACTGGTAACCCATAGTGTAGTTGGTATCCCACCTCACAGCTTCCTGTGACACAGCAGGGGGCCACCACATGGAGGGGCAGCAGGCCTCGCCCATGAGGGCGTCAGGACGTGAGGAGAGACAGGGTCTAGAGACCTCTGCGGTGGAAATGGTGCATCAACAGTGCATCGTGGCTGCAGGGGGGATGAGATGAGAAGGGCTCCTGACAGACCTGGAGAATCTAGAAGAACAAGGCACCAGGCCTTGCAATTCCATCCCATTTCAGATTAACAAGACATACAGGAGAATATCTTCAAGACCTCGAGAAAGGGAAGGATTTCTCCAACTAGACCCTCCAAAAGAGTTTATCAAAAGATTCTGGTATTTCGGGGTGCCTGGGTGGCCACGTGTGCTCCAGGAGACCTGATGGCTGGTTTCACTTGGCTATGAAACTATCAATTTCTGAACACCGGTGTGTGCCAGGTGCTGTTTAGGTTCTTTGCATTAACTCACTGCTAGGATCCTCTACACATTTATGAGATGGGGCTATGATTCCCATTTTACAGATGAGGAAACGGGAACAGAGAAGTGTTGCAGCCTGAGCTCCTAAAGCTAGTGAGAAGAGCTGCAGGGGTTCTAATTAAGTAGCTACAGAGCCCCAAGTCTGCCCTCCCAGCAAGTACTTTGCATTTTATACACACTGTCTCATTTCCACTCCACCTACACCCCTATGAGGCAGTAACTTGGTTCATTTTACAGATGAAAAAACTCAACGTGCTCAAGGGCAGAATTGTGTTCGAGGGCACTTATCTAGTGAATGGCAGGGCTGGGAATGGACTCTAATCAGCTGCCCTAAACCCCTGCATGTGCCTCCCTTCAGTGAGGGGCAGGAGCGACCCAGCCCGGTGACAGAAGGAAGCAGAAGTTGGAGGGGGTGTCTGGTTGTCCCAAGTCTCCGTTCCGCCCATGTCCCCCTTGCTGTGCAGTCGGGAATCACCTGACAGCCCTGAGAGGCTCCAAGGTTCTCCCGGATCAGCTTTCCCGGCTCCGCGCCGCAACCTCCCCCCGCCTCATTGGCCAGAGGTGGCCACGTGCCTTCCGCATAGCCAATGGGGTTGAGGGGGCGGGGCGCGGGAAAGGAAGCCCGGAAGCCTACTGCACCTTCTCCTGGAAGTCTCTGCGTGCAAAGAGGAGTTGGTGGCTTGGGGCTTCTGAGAGGTTGGAATCCCTATTGGAGGAAAAGGAAAAAGGAACCGACCAGAAAAGCAGGACCGGGACGAGTGGGGACCTTGCTGCGCTTGGAGACAGAGAGGTACGAAGCCTAGCGGCAGCTGGGACACAGAAACAGACAAGAAGGCCAAGGGGCTGGTGGGGTGGGGTAGCCATCCGTGCCAGGAAGCAAACAAGAGCCTGCCTGTGGGAGTGAGCGGCTGGAGGGTGGGTGCCTGAAGGGAGGGCCCTCCAGGAGGGCAGCGCCCTGGTTTGGAGCGCACTGGGGACTCGCCCTGGCAGGGGTCCCAAACCACCATCTCCTGTGAGCAGAAAGGAGAAGGATTTATTTTCGGAGTTTGCGGGACCTGGGACTGGGCCCCGCAAGTGCTGCCCTTGGAAGGTACTCCTTTCCTTCTGAAGACCAGCTCACTATGCTGCCCAGGCCACAGAGCAACGTGAGATGACCATCCTAAAGGTCAAGTTTATGTCTTCTCCATACAAGAGACCTCCTGGGATGAGCTAAAGTCTCTCCATCCCAATTCCATGTCCTAGGAACTGTCGGCTCCATTTGCTCTCACTGAAATCCAGCTTTTCCCACCATGAAAAACAGGGAAGAGAACAGTTCCAAAGTTTTCTGTATCCAGTCTTCAGCCCTGAGAGACTACGATTTTGTCTCAAGTCTAGTGATCAGGACAGGCCACTGGCTCCGTTGGGCTCAGGACCCATCCATGGAGAACTCTGCAGGTCCCACGGCAGCTGTGTGAATGGCAGGGATAGCAGAGAACATTTTGCAGGAGGTGATGCTGGAGAAACTATCTGAGAGATGATCTGCCCTTCCATCCCATCCCGCCAGAGTCCTCCTCTGCAAAACTGCTTAAGTCAGTAGATGGAGGGAATGTTCAGTGACGGAGCTGGAAGCATGTGACCCAGCTGACGGAGCTCTGTAAGGGAAGGAAGCACACAGCAGGGTGGGGAGGGAAGTTCAGAAAGAGAAAAATGGTCAGGTAACCTCAAGGGGGGCAACTCTAAGCCAGCCTTGCCTGTGGCCGTTGAAGATGGCCATTGCATCAAGCTCAGAAACAAGAAACTACTTTTCTGAAACAGGTTAAGGGACCAGGGGGCTTAGCTGCTGTTTTGCTATGTGACTTTGGGCACATTACTGCCTTGTCTGGGCAAGTTCCCTGTGAAATAGGGACAACAGAGTGAGCTGAGACACAAATGAATCAGATCTCACTTTGCAGCATCTAAAGCCCAGTACCCAAGGCCTTCACCAGTAAGACAGAAGGCTGTGGTCATCGTTCTGCTGGGACAGGGCAGTGAATGGACCAACCAAGCCCCACAAGGAACTCAGCACCCCACTGGCCACTCTGCCCAGCTCTGCTTCCAGCCACAGGGTCCCTGTGGGAAAGGGCAGGTGGCCTCGTCCACTAAGAGGCAAGAACCTTGTACTGATATGGGCATTTCCGGGCCTATTTCAGACAGGGAACAGGGAGGCTTCTGACTGCAGCCACCTATGACAGGTCCCATGCCTCAGGCCCGACAGAAACCCTAGCTGGGGGTTGGCTAAAGGTCTAGCCATAGGGGCCTCAGCTCTCCCCAGGGAGTCCTTGCCCACCCCTGGTTCCAGAAACCGGACAGTCTGCTATCAGCTCACTGGGGGCAAAGGGCTGACCTCAACCTCTTGTGCGGCAAAGCAAGGTTATGAACTTGTACCCTGGTGGCTCTGGGCCTCAGCGTCCACACTACCTCTCTCCCCCAGCTGGGGCACTGTCCCAGTTGCCAACTTTTCTCAGATGCTCCTCTCCTCCATGGCTCTTGGGCTGTGCCTGACATCTGGGGACAGATAAAGCAAGAGCAGACCCCATAGTGGACAGAGAGGCAGGGCAGGTGACCAGGTACGGAGTAGCTCCGGTTCTATCCAGGGAAAGGGAGGCCAGCTGAGGAATCCATTCAGAATCGCCCAAGGCCCAAGCTAGAAGGACCCTTTGTGCCTCTGTCTACCCCCTCCGGCTTGCAGATGGAGAAACAAAAGTAGAGAGAGAAACAGGGTCTGGGCCACACAGGGAGGCAGGGGGCACTCTGCCTGTTCCTCTAGGGAGTGCCCAGATGTTACCTTCAGGGGTGGAGAGATGGCTGGAGGCTCCCGCCCTCCCAGTGCTGGAGGCCTGGGTGCTCAGAGGTGTGCCAGCTCCTCTCCCTGGGGACACAGTTCTTAGCCTGAGGATCAGAATTCTTGGAGTCTCCCAGGGCCCGCTGGCAGATATGACCCCATTCTCTCGGCGTCCCCAGAGAGCAGCTGAGGCAAAAGATAGAAGCACTCACCCCGTCACGTTCCTCCACACAGGGTCATAAAGATGAAGACCCCCGTCGGGCATAAAGAAGTAGCTGCTCCAGGCCAGGGAATGTGCTACATTCTCTATCACTGGCGGCTCAAGCTGTCTCCTGAACGTACGAAGTGCAAATAATGCCTTCTTGAGAGAATACGGGATAGACCTAGTGACTAGAGCCCTATATGCGGGTGGTCTTGGGCACACCTCCATCGCACGGACTCCATAGTCCGACTTTAGTACGGACTCCCTCTAACTGGACCCCAGGTATAGGGAGAGTCAGGGGGCCCAAGCAACAGGCACTGTGCCAGGTGCACTGT